GGGGGCATTACTATTAGCATGTATAATATAGGGGGGCATGGGGAGGGTTGTACAGCACAGAGAAGACAAGTAGTGATTCTATGGCATCTTACTATGCTGATGGACAGTGACTGTAGTGGGGTATGTGGGGGGGACTTGGTGATGGGGGGAGTCTAGTAACCATAATGTTCCTCATGTAATTGTAGATTAATGATACCAAAAAAAATGTATGTACTTAGTTCAAAACTAACAAGTAACTTGACAACAAAAAAATGCAATCCTTAAAGAAAAAATTGATCTCATCAAAATTAAAAATTTTTTGGTTGTAAAAGTCCACAGGAAGAGGTTGAAAAGAAAAGATACAGATTGGGAGAAAGTATTTGCAACACATATCTGATGAAGACTAGTATCTGGGCTATATTAAACAAAAACTGCCAAAATTCAACAGTACAAAAAAGAATCCAATTATAAAATGGGCAAAAGACACGAGCAGGTAGTTCGCTGAAGAGGTAACACAGATGGAAAATAAACACATGTAAGCATGTTCAACATCATCAGCCATCCGGGACATGCAAATTAAAATCACGAGATAGCATTGCACACCTATCAAAATGGCAAAAATAAAAAATGAGATAAACCAAATACTAGCTAGGATGTGGAGAAGTGGATTACTTATGTATTCCTCAGGGAAATGTAAAAGAGTAGTCACTCTGGAAAATTGTTTGGCAGTTCCTTTTAAAACTAAACATGCATGTACCATATGACCCAGCAGTTGAACTCTTGGGGACATTAACTCAAGAGAAATGAAAACTTATATTCACCCAACTTGTACAGGAATGCTCTAAGCAGCTGTTATTTCTAATGGCGACAGCTGGAAACAACCAAGATGTTCTTCAACAGGTGCATGTATAAACCAGCTGTGGTGCATCCATACCATGGAATACCACACAGCAATAAAAAGACATGAACTAATGAAACACAGAACTTGGATGCATCTCTAGTGAATTACAGAGTGAAAAAAGCCAATCTCCAAAGGTTACATACTGTAATGACTCCACTTAGATAACATTTTTGAAATAACAATATTTTAGAAATGCAAGCCCGAGTATTGTTGCCAGGGTCAGGGAAGGAGGGGCGGGGGAAGGACATGGGTGTGACCAGGAGTCCTAGCCTTTAGAAGTTTGCAGACATTTAAATGAAATTTCTAACAAGAAACAAAACTGGGGAAACTTTCTCAAAATACAAAATGCCCCTATCCACAGATTCCACAATTCCATGTTTAGGAACTTTCATGCTGATGGACTATGTGCAAGAAGATGTCTGAACAAAGATGTAGACTACAGCATGTGTATAATGGCCAAGGCTAATGACACCCTAAATGTCCATGCAGAGGACACTGGGGAAGTCGGGCTGGTCCATCCACCCGGTGGAGCTCTGCTGATGTTAAAAAGGATGAAGGACTGACAAGAAAGGTCTGTAAGACACATTGTTTCAAGAAAAAAGTGTGGCAGTGACCTTGTTAGTGGGAAACTTGATATGTGCACTGACAGAAGGATAGACAGGAAGGACTGAAGGGTTTACACGGGCCAGAGTTAGAATGACTGCCCTGGACAGTGGCTTGACAGCTGGTGGGACATGGGAACTTTCTTCTCAACTCATTCTCTATTTCATGATGTATCCCAAGCATCTAGAAGTGTGCCAGGCACATAGGGGGTGCTTAGTCTGCATTTTTTAAAATATGAAAATAAAACATTATTGTTATAATTTAAAAATATTTAATAAACTTGAGGGAGGCAAATAGAGGGGCTGCCAACTTTTCATGTTGCCCGAGGACTTTATTTTAAACAACTAGCATTTAATTTCAACTGCCATTTCATTAAAAAAAATAAAAACAGAATTTTTAACCCAAAAAAGGGAAAGTTACAGAGTAAGAGACAATTCTTTGAGTGTAATATGTTTAGTTTTATGAAAATATTATAGAAGGGTCATTTTTTTTTCTCATTTCACAGCAATTTTTAAATTTTTTTAGCTTTCTCCAAGTACAAATTTTTTTTTTTTTTTTTTAAAGCAACCTTAACCACAGATAGCAGCACAGACATTGATCTGGGAGCCATGAAGTTTCAGCAGGCTGGTTTGCAGATGGGGAAACTGAGGGGGAAGTGACCCCCCTAGGGTCCCACAGGCACTGGTTAATCACAGACCCCTGGACATGTAAGGGAGCCAAGAGCTCATCTTTGATCCCCACACCCAACTCTATACCTGAACCACGTCCCACCCAACCCCACCCCAGCCCCCACCCTGGGGGACAATTGTCACCTGGCTGTTGATGTTATTGTTATCACTGAACACCAGCAAGCCCCCGATGAACGCAGCCAGGAATGAGTGCATCGGGTAGGTCTTGCCCTGCATGTGGGACTGCAGAGCGCAGAGCCCCTTGTAGGTGAACACGAAGCAGGCCAGGTTCTTAGAGTGGATGTACGTGGCCCGCAGGATGGTCCACAGCTTCTCCCGGAGACTGCACAAACACAGGGGGCCACCATGAGAGCAGGCCCAGCTGTTTCAAGGACATACACCCACCAGGCATGCAACCAAGGGAGGCAAGGAAGGCTAGGGCCAAAGCTCGTTCCAGCCCAGCCTCCAGCCTCCACGTCGTCAGGGCTGCTCCCTCACTGGATTCAAGCCTCGACTCCATGCCACCTCCTGAGGTCTTCCCTAACCACCCTACAAAAAAGAATGCCCATCGCGTCCTGTCTCCTTATCCTACCTTTCCTTTCTTTTACAGATCCTTTTGCCACCTGACATGTACACGCTTGTTTATTATCTCTCCGCAACCCTTGCTCCACCCCAAGGGAAGCTACTCAACAGTGGTGTCTACATCTGGCTTGTTCATCTGGCCCAGAACAAGGCCTGGCACATAGTAAGTGCTCAATAAATGGTTTTGTAGTGAACACGTGAAGAAATGAATGAGGAGGGAGGGAGTGCCTACTATGTGCTGAATCTGGGGATACAATTCTGAGCAAAACCAAATCTGCTCGCTGCCCTCATGAGGTTTATGATCTAATGGGAGACAGAAGTATAAATAATCACGAAGGAAGAGCCAAACTTTGACCTCGACAGGAGCTGCGGATATGAAGGATAGGTCAATGAGGTCAAGTGGGGAGAGTGGCATCCCAGACAGAGGGATCAGCCTATCTTGACAGGGGACAGAGCATGGAGGAAAGGAACAGAAACAGGCCAGGCTGGGGAGACAAGTGTGGGCAAAGGACGTGGGGGACAAGCGGAGCCATGCTAAGCTTTGGCTTTATCCTCAGAGAAGTGAGTATTTAAGTAGGGCAGGGACTCAATTTATCCTTTAAGATTAATCACTTAGAGGCCATGAGAAGAACATAGGAGGGCAGAGGACGCCAAGTATGGTAAACCCAAGTGCCCTCAGGGCAAGATGAGGACCTTGAAGTGGGTCTACTGGAACTTGTGGAAATCTGCCAGGTGAGTCAGAAGTCAGCTGGTTCTCACCCCATAGGAACACGGGCCCACTGCTGCCAATTCTAAGGCAAGAAAGCTGGATTTTCCAGCAATAATCCTGTCTTCAAAATGTTCCTAGAGTCTGACCACTGACACCACTATGGTGTCAGTCACCAGCATTACTCACCTGGATTATTGCTACAGCCTCCTAATTTACACCCACGTCTACCCTTGGCCCCCTGCCCCCATCTGTTATTAATCTGACAGCAAACTCTTCATTCTCACATCATTAAAAGGTAAGTCAAATAGTGGCACATCTGTGCACAAAATCTTACAACAATTTCCTACTTCACTTGAAAGAAAAGCCAAACTCCTCTCTATGGCCTAAAGCTGGACAGGTCCAAACCGGGTTACCCATGACCTTCCTCTGTTCTCTCTGCCCCAGCGTCCTCAAACTTGCTAGGCATGTTCCCACCTCGGGGCCTTTGCACTGATTGTTCCCTTGGCCTGTAACACTCCTCCCCCTGAAACCCACTTGGCTAACTTTTTCATCTCCTTCAAGCCTTTACTTGAATATCACGGAGGCCTTCCTTTTTAATTCTTAGCCTATCCCTCCTCCAGCATTCCTGATCCCTTTTCCCTGCTCTAATCATCTTTCCCACTGCCTGTATCACCTTCTAACATACCATGTATTTCCCTTATTTGTTAACATTTATTTCCTGCTACCCCGCTACAAGGCAGGCTCTCTGAGGGCAGTGATCATTGTTTTGTTCACTGCTGTATCCCCAGCAGCTAAAATAGTGTCTGGCACATAGTAGGTATTCAATATTTACTGAATAAATGAATGAGTTCAATTATAAGAAAACAAAGTGTAATACCCGATAGATAAATAAAGCAAAAAATACAAAGAGAAACTCTTGCAAGCTGGATTTGGCCAGGAGGTTGTCTGTGCATGATTTTGTATGCTCCAGGTGAGGCTCCATACATTAAAAACTAGACCACAAGGAGGTTTCAGAGATACACCTTGATGAGAGAGTTATGGGAGATACAGGAAGTTCAAGAAGTCTGAGTGAGGGACAGAGATCACTCATGGACAGTTTTCCCAAGAAAGTCATCTTCACAGAACTGGTATGAGTTGCTAGGAAGGAAGTAACGGTGGGGTGAAAGAGGAAAAGGTATTCCTGGAGGTGGGTTACTGCAAGAGCAAATGTGTGGAGGTGGAACCACACATGGACCATGCATGAAATGGCAGAGAGTCCTGTGTGCCACGGGTACTCTAGGGTGGACATAGGGGAAAAGCATGGGGATGCAGCTGAGACCAGGCTGCAGAGGGTCTTAAAGGACACATCTGGAAATCTGGAGGACAGGGGAGCCAGAGGGGATATTTGGCAGGAATAGGATCAGAGTTGTACATTAGGAGACAGGCTAGACTCAGCTAGGAAGCTACTGCAATCGTCCTAGCACTGAGGGCTGACCACATTCTCTCCCAGTTTGAGAGTGTGCAGAGAGGGTGGGTACCTGCCACTCCGGAAGAGAAAGGTCATGACGAGTGAGTGAGGGGCCCGGATTTTGGCTCCATAGCTGAAGAAACAAAAGAAAACAGTTAATACAGCATCATTGCACTAGCTTCCTTCTGGCTCTGTGTGACTCCTTGTCCCCCATTTCCATCCCTAGTCCTAACATGCTATATGTGGAAATAATGGGGGCTTTCAAGTTAGATCTAGGTTCTAGTCCCAGCTTTGAAACCTTGGTAGTATGGGCTCAGGCTTGTTTTTTTAACTTCTCTGAGCTTCAGTTTGCCCAACAGTGGAAGGGGGTGTCAGACCTCAGAGGCCTGGCTTTATTTTGATAGAAGACAGTGTGTGTAAAAGGCCTCCATCATCCATACACAATAGAGCAAGAAAGGATAAGACACTAATATTGGTTGAACTAAACTTTTATGTGGATTAAAAAACAGACTGGAAGGAAATATACCACAATGTTATTAGCAATGTCCCCTAGGCTTGCAGAATATGGGAATTTGTTTTTTTAACTTCTCCACACTTCTAAAATGACCTATAATTGCTTTTAAAATTAAAATAATTGAAGTAAACATTTTAAATGCTACACAATTGCCTCTTTTTAAGACAATTATCTCTTCTCCCTGATCCTTATTTCCTCTCCTCATTTGAGTAACCGGGCATTAAGTGAACAATCGAAAAATACCACATTCACTTTCATGTTCACCTGGAGTTTTTTTTTTTTTTTTAACATCTTCATTATTTTAACTATACTCAAATGGGTAGTAGGAAGGAAATGGTATTTGGTGCCCAATACTGCCACAGTCTGCTGTGTAGAGTTGGGTAAATCACTTTACTTTTCTGAGCCTTCCTCCTCCCATCAGTAAAAAGTATTTCAGAGTTGCTTCTGGCAGTTCTTTATTGGACACCCCTTACCCCTGCCAAGTTCTCCAGCTGTCAGGCCTTGATATTCCTGGGGTCTAAAAGTCCTTGGCAGTTCCTTGAGACAACGGTCATGAGCCACGCATCACTGTCAGAAGACTGACTGTGCGTGTTCCCAGCAGGCTTGTTTGAAACAGAAAAAGACTGGAAGCAAACCCATGTCTGCCCACAGGGGGCTGTTGGATACACATGGTCACACCATTCAGTGGAATACTGCACAGCCATAGAAGAAGGAGACAGTTTCTTGTGTGGTGCAGGATTTATTGGAACAAAGAGTGTAGAGTGTAAAATTGTGTAAAAAGAGGTAATTTTTTTAAAGGCTTTTATTTTATTTATTTATTTATTTTTTTGAGAGGGCATCTCTCATATTTATTGATCAAATGGTTGTTAACAACAATAAAATTCTGTATAGGGGACTCAATGCACAATCATTAATCAACCCCAGGCCCAACTCTCAACAGTCAAAAGGAGGTAATTTTTTGATAAACCTGAAATTATTTCATAATAAATCTTGTTTTAAAGGTATGGGGAAAGAATATATGTATCTGTCTGTATATGCAGACAATATTTCTGAGGGAGACCTAAGATTGAACACGGGTCACTTCCAGGGAGGGGGACTAGGTGATGGAAGGACAGGTGGGCAGGATGTTATAGCATCTAATTTCTCATGCCTTCAGTAATCATGGTAATTTAGCCATATAGGAAAATGCTCTTATTTTTAGAGATGCACGTTGACGTACTTAGGAGTGGAACATGAAAGTGCATTAGAACTGTACCAAGTTCATATGTCTCAGTCACTCAAGTCTGCCTCCCTAAATAGATGGGCTGCCTCTCTTCACATATAGCAGATTCTTTTCCACCTCCAGGCCTTTGTTTGAACCATTCCCTTTGTCTGGATGCCCTTCTGCCCTAGGCAAATTCCAACTCAGCCTTCAAAATGTCCCCTTCAGTGAATATATTACCAAATTTTTAAAATATTAATACAGAATTTTAAGTTAAAGCCAGTGTTACTGTTGCAGTGGCCATGCTGAATCACTTATCTTCTCTCCTGCCCAGCCATGGGCAGCACCCCCATGCTGGCCCCAGCAAGCTCTCTGCCCGCCTCCTCCAAAGTCATGTCTCTTTCCCTTGAACAAAGGGGCCCTCAGCCTCCTCCAGCTGGCAAGGGCTAAAAGGGCTTTTCCTTATACCCTAGACACAAGTGAACCAGGCCCCCAACTCCTTCCATCTGCCAGGCCCCATTCCCAAAGTCCTCAAACTCAGGGGGGAGCCAGTTATTAGTGTTCACAGGCTTACTCTTGTGTCCTGAAAAAAAGGATGCTCAGGATTTAAAAGGACTTAAAGAACGTATGACAGGTGCAATGTAGTGTCCCGGAAGATCCTGGTCTGGACAAACTAACTACAGAGGACATTTGGGGTGCAACTGGGACAATCTGACTAGTGACTGAACAGTAGTCAACACTATAGGTTATTATTAATTTATTAATTGTAATCATGGTAATTTAGCCATATAGGAAAATGCTTTTATTTTTAGAGATGCACGTTGACGTACTTAGGAGTGGAACATGAAAGTGCATTAGAACTGTACCAAGTTCATATGTCTCAGTCACTCAAGTCTGCCTCCCTAAATAGATGGGCTGCCTCTCTTCACATATAGCAGATTCTTTTCCACCTCCAGGCCTTTGTTTGAACCATTCCCTTTGTCTGGATGCCCTTCTGCCCTAGGCAAATTCCAACTCAGCCTTCAAAATGTCCCCATCACCTCCTCTTATATTTCTCCTCACCTGGCATTACCATAGTTTAATGGTCAGTCTCCCCACTGAACTCCAGGTCCTTAGAGATGGGCATGGTGTCTTAGCACTAACCAGCAATGGGATCACTATCTTGGAGCACCCTTCTATCAATGAGTTTGTTTCCATGTTACAGAGGAGGAAACTGAGGCCAGAAGAGATGAAGGCACCCAGCTTTGAAATGAAGGAACTGGCATTTGAACCCAAGGGCCTGACCTCAGCAAGTGCCTGCCCTGGCTGGGAAGTTCCTTGGTCACGGGGAGAACTGAGGTGGGAACAGGTATATAAAGCCAGCATTGGGCAATGCCCATAGGCACCAGGGCCTGTGTGACTCCTATTCACCTCTGCTTTGTCCTGAGAATTCTTTGGAAGGGGCTGATGAGACAACTGATGCTATTTCAGATCTGCTCCAGTCTGGTCAAACCAAGGCATGTCTGATATGATCTGGCCAGACCCAGTGAGCCTGATTCTGGGTGCCCACAGAAGCCAAGAGCCCGGTGTTAGGGTCAGGCATCCTAGGTTTGAATCCTGGCTCTGACCCTGACCAAGTGATGTGACCTTAAGTAATGAGTTTACTTCTCTAAGCCAGTCTTCTTATGTGGAAAATGGAGACAATGGCAATTCCTACCTTGCACACTTATTCATTCAATAAATATTTAAGATTTATTTATTATCTGGGCCAGGTACTACTTACATGCCGAGGAACAAAGTACATAAAAACTTCTGTCCCCATGAAGCTCACTTTCTAGTGAGACAGTGTGTAAAAACAGGTTACATAAGTGAACTACTTAGTGACGGATGGTGACAAGTACTTTGGAGAAAAATTAAGCAGGTGGAGACTTAACAGATGGCCTCAGTGAGGAGGTGACACTTAAGCAGAAGCCTGAAAAACATGAGGGCAAGAGCCAGGCAGATGTCCAGTGAATATAGTAGTACCACCAGCCAACAGTTTTATGTATGTATATATATATATATATCAGGTGCTGTGCTACGCATTTCACATATATTGACTCAATCCTCTGACAGTGTAAGTACTACTAACATTCCCATGTCACAGAAATTGATGCTTAGAGAGGCTAAATTATTTGCTCAAGATCACACAGGTAGATGGCATCAGGATTCAAACTGAGGCAGTCCACATGCTCACCACCCAGCCATGCTGTCACTAGGATGCCAACTCCAGGACATAGATCTTTGCTTGGTTTGCTCTTTGCTGCATCCCTCATTCAGGTACAGTAGGCTCTCCATAAATGACAGCTGTAATTTAAAGGAGGCCAGCCTTCCCTCCAGGCACCAGCGAGACGAAATTACCCCAAGACCACCTCTCCTGCAGGTCTGATGACCACCGTGGAACCAATTTGCCCAGCAAGTATTTTCAGTATCTTTTATACTCACTGTCACTTCTGAGGCTTATGCACCAGGAATCCCTTGTGCCAAATGGGAACCCGGCTCTAGAATCACACAGATAAGGAGTGGGAAGCACTCCTCATCTGCGGACAGCTTAATGGGAGAAGCATAGGCAGGGGTCACCGCTGGTCTGCTAAAGGCCAGAGGCCAGCTTCTCGTTGTGCACATGGGGCCACTGAAGCCACACAGGCCCAGGATAATACAGCGGGGGTGGGAGGGAACTGGGCCCGAACGAGGGGATACAGGGCTAGCATGGGAGGTGATAAAGGCAAAAGGACCAGGTTGCAAAGCACAGAGGACCCAGAAACACAGTAGGGGGCCCAGGCTCAAAAGGCGCTTGGAACCCCAAATCCAGCGCCCACTGCACAGAGGGTGGACATCAAGACCTAGAGACACATTAGGGCTGCCGGCGCCCGGCCCAAACCCGCTTCTCCGCTTCTCCAACCCCAGCCAGACCTGTCCGTCATCCCTGGCCCGGCCCGAAGGCCCCACTCACACTGCCCCGTTCCGGAAGCCCTTAAGTGTGGCCAGAGCAGCGTGGTAGCGGCGCTTGCGTAACAGTGCGTTGACAGCAAGGAGCAGAGCCCGCAGCTGCGGCGGGGCGGACATAGCGCAGGCGACGCGTTGGGTACCGGCCACAGAGTACGACTCGCACTTGCAGCGCCCGCAACTGCACGGATAACCGCAGCGCCTAGCAGAGCAGGACTGAGCCACCGACCGCTTCGTTGCCCCCATAAGCTATGTGTGTAGTCACTCACACAGTAAGAACCAATCAGAGGGCGCGATTATGTCACCAGGTGCGCGCACTCTCCCGAATAGCGGTCCGATTGGAAGAGAAGGGAAAGCTTGAAACCAATCGCAGTGGGCTTTGCCCGACTGGCCCTAAAGAAGTCGTACAGCCGAATTTACCCAATCGGAAAGCCCGTTTCCTTTGGGTTTATGAAGAAGTGTCTTACCTGTGGGTTTGGAAGGTTTCTTGAAAGAGGAGCTACCCACTCTAGACTGGAGACAGTGGCTGTGGGTAAAATTGCAATATTTCCAGAATCTCTCGCCTGGCCTTAGTTGCATCTCCATATCAATAGGCTTTCCAGGGGGTGGAGAAAAGTACCATCTCCATATCAATAGGTAATTACGGGGCCGAGCTAGGACACATCTGGACTGAAGTGGTTGGGTAGGCTTTCTTCTGATACTGCGTCACGAGAGACACGGGAGAGCAGAAGTGGACTGCTTGTAAGAAATGGGTTGCATAAACTTCGTTTCTCCCTTTGACTGATTTTGTTTTCAAAGGTATTTTGCCCCGGGATTTTACCCCCGGAGTTAATAGTGTCATTGGAAAGATCCAGGCCTCATCTTTACACAGGACACTGCTGACTGAGTAATAGTTATCACAGCAATATTCTCAGAGCATAAACCACTTGGCACCCTCAATGGCTTGCATTTAGTCTTCAGATCCAAACTCTCTCCCACAGCCCACAAAAGAAGACTGTATATAGTCTGGCCCCTGCTTCCCTCTGTAACATGGCCTGTCACTTGCCCTTTATTCACGTCTCTCCAGGCAAGCTGGCCTCCTTGGTGTCCCTTGAGCATGCCAAGAACGCTCCTGCCACAGGGCCTTTGCACTTGGTATTTCCCTACCTGGTGTGCCTCACTTCCAGTTCTTCCCAAGGCTGGTTTCTTCTCAATCTTCAGGTTTCAGCTCAAATGCCACCTCCTCAGAGAGCCTTCCATAGATATCCCATCTAAAGTAGCACTGTCCACTCTGACTCATTAACCTCTTTTATTTTCTTCATTGTACTTTCTACCCTTCGAAATTTGCTGATTGTTCCTTGTTTACTACCAGACTGTAAGTTCCATGACTGCAGAAACCTTGTCTGTCTTGCATTTTGCTGTAACTCCAGCACTTATCACATGGTGGGTGTCCAACATTGACTTGTTAAAGCAATAGTTTTGGGTTGTCATCTCCCAGAGCATTGATGGGTGGCAGTTATGTATGCTATCACATACAGTACAGAAGTTGTCATTGGACAACAGCTACATGTAGAATGGTGGCTGTGACTTGTGAGGGTGTCCCTGTACTTACGCCACATGGCATTTATTATGATATTATTGCCTGGGTCAGTGTCACAGGATGATGTCAGTTTCAGTGAAGGAGGAATTATATTGGGCCTATTTTATCACTGAAACTGTATTTTCTTTTTTCCTTTTTTCAATAATGGTGCACTGATAAGATTTATTATATTAATAAATAGTTTATTTATTTAGTTAATCCTACCCCTGAAAATAATGGCAATGTTAGGTAAAATATAAAAATATCCTCTGACACCTGATTGTTTATAGTTCATAATGCATGATCAAAACCGAAAGTTTCTGTGATGACTGCCCTTGCACTGTTCACCATGTAAGAACTTATTCAATATGTAAGAATTTGTTCACCATGTAAGAACTTGTTCCTTATGCTTCAGAAGATTGGAGACTGTTGAGAATTAGGCTTGAGGTTGATTAATGATTGTGCATTGAGTCCCCTATGCAGAATCTTATTGTTGTTAACAACCATTTGATCAATAAATATGAGAGATGCCCTCTCAAAAAAAAAAAATATCCTCTGACAAACACTGAAGTGCTTGTAGGTGGCTGTCTTCTCCTTGTGTCTTCACATGGTCTTTCCTCTGTATATGTCTGTGTCCAAATTTCCTCTTCCTATAACACGAGTCATATTGGATAAGGGCCCACCTATATGACCTCATTTAACCTTAATCACCTCTTAAAGTTCCTATCTTCAAATACAGTCACATTCTGAGGTAGCAGGGGTTAGGACGTCAACATGTGAATCCTGGGAAGACACCATTCAGCCCATAGCTACCACTGGGCTTTGGCGCCTCCTACCAGTACCAACAAACCTAATAAGGTATTATGGCTCAGTATGTCTTTACTTTCTTCCCTTTGCAATTCAGAGTCTGTTCTGGTTTAAGATGCTCATGATTTCTCTTCTCCCCATAGAAAAGTTAACTTTTCTGTAGTGCTGAAGCATTCATTTTGGAGGAGGACACTGGAAGTTTCCCAAACTCTCACTCCTTCCTGCTCAGCTCCATGCCTGGAATTACTATATTACCTACCCAAACGTCCCTAAGCTGTGATTGGATTGGTTCAGTGCCGCCAGCTGGCCCTAAGGAAATGGGACATAGATAGCTCTGATAAGATTTTGGTGGAGGAAGAGATGGAAGTGAGGAGTAGAAGGTTTGCAGTAGGGAGCAACTCCACCGGGGAGCCTGCTGAAGGTGGGTTCTACATCCCTGAAAACTCATTTAGTTGTTCCATCAGCTAGTCAATCAACAACATTTTACAGGTTACTGCTCTGCCAGGCTCTGAATTTCAACTAGAATGGATGAAGTTGCTCAGATGGCTTCCTATTGGGTGTGTGTGGGGGGAGATAAAGGAACTTCCAAAAGCCAAAGCATATCACATGACAGGGTTGTTCAGTTACTGTGAGATACTGCACAGCAAGAGAAGGATGGAGCCTACCTAGGGAGATCAGGGGAAGCTGCTCAGGGTAAGCAAAAAAGCAAGCTTTTATTGTTCTAACAATGTTGAGAATACAACATTTTGGTAAGAGATAACAGCATGTACAAAAGCTTGAAGAGCAGATAAAAATCAATTATGTACATATGCACCTGGATATATGGAAACACATGAAAAGCTGCTAGAGCCTGTGCTGGTGCAATGTTTTACTGTCTATAGTGTCTCCTATTGCTCTTAGAACTAAATCCAAACCCTGTGATCCTGTCCATCTCTTCATATTCATCCTGTTGTGCCCATACCTTATTATCCTCCGTTGATCTTTTACAATCCTTGGCTTCCTTTCATTTTGGCCTCAGGGCCTTTGCAGTTGCCCAAGATTATATAGCTAATAAACTGCTTTTCTGTTCCCTTTTCTCCATCTGACTCCATCTTATTTCTCAGTTCCACCTCCTCAGAGAGGCCCTCCTTGACCATCTTGTCAAAAGTAGCTTCCTCTTCTGAAGAAAAACATTTTAAATCAGGGAACATTTCTCTTTTCTCTTATTTACAGCCCATCTTGCCTGCTGGACTATGATTCCATGAAGGCAAGACTTTTTGTCATTTTGCTCATGGCTGCGTCCCTAGCATCTAGAACAGTGTCTAACACACAATAGATACTCAAAAAATATTCTAATGAATTAAGTGAATGTGAATATATTAATATATTACTTGAATGAATTTTAAAAAAGAGAACAGTTATATTGAAAAACTCTTGCAGGGGAAAGATGATGAGAATCTGAGGCCATTGGATCAAGGGTATGAGGCAGGAGGGAACCCTGGACTTACTCCTGCCAGAGAGGCAATGGGAAAGAGGTCTAGGTCTTGAAGTGGGCCCTGGGTCTCCAAGTTTCCCAGAAAGAAGGTGGGGCATGGTGTCTGGGGGAAGGGTGGGTTCTTTGTGGGAGACATTTGCTCATGGCTTGCTGTGAAAGAGGGAATAGGAAGGGGAAGTGGGGTAGTAGCTGGGGGGACAGGGGTGGTAGTCAGGGCAAGATGGAGAGTTCACCAGTAGAAATGGGCCTTGAGGGGATTTGTAGTGGAGGGTCTGTTAGGCAACCTATCAGGGATAGTGGCTGGTAGTGTTCCACAAGGGCAGAGGAGCTTTGAATGAATACTTTTTATTTTCAGGAGTAATATATTTATTTAGTGAATATAAGAAAATGAAAATTGTGATTTTTATTTTTATTGCTTTGGTTGAGACTAAAATAGGTATTTAAGAAAAAACAATGAGAACATTTAGAGTTAAATCCATGGTAGTACAGTTGTACGAAGATTTGGCCATGCTCATGGGGAAAATCATGATGGATTGTACCTCCTGTTAGGCTTGAGGAAGGAAAAACAAGGACATGCAAACAAAACAGAGAGATGCCATAGGGGGAGAACAGACCAGACCCCAAGCTCCGTGCCTTATATGGACAGGGGACACCTCTTCCTGAATTCCATCCTTCCGATGTGCCAACTAAGACCTGAATGTCAGCCTCCTCCCTCTTGGAAGGAAAAAAAGTTTCTAGTTGTCTATTATGTCACCTTTAGCCAATCATACCTCTCCACGCCCCCTAGGATAGCTCGCCCACTCCTCCCCCTCCTAATCCCTTATAAGCCCCCACCTCCCTGACCGGGTGTGACTTCTCTGGCCTGTGTTTCAGACTGTGAACATCACCCGGGAGTGGCATTCAAATAAACTACCTGGCCCTTTGTTGCCTCTCTTCGCCTGCTTATTTTGGCTAAACTTTATCTTACACCTCCTTGATTCCCCTCCACTCACTCCCAAATCTTCCTGTGGTCCAAGTGTATTTCTTTGAAACTGCTGTTCTCCTGCCAGAGAGGCAATGGGAAAGAGGTCTAGGTCTTGAAGTGGGCCCTGGGTCTCCAAGTTTCCCAGAAAGAAGGTGGGGCATGGTGTCTGGGGGAAGGGTGGGTTCTTTGTGGGAGACATTTGCTCATGGCTTGCTGTGAAAGAGGGAATAGGAAGGGGAAGTGGGGTAGTAGCTGGGGGGACAGGGGTGGTAGTCAGGGCAAGATGGAGAGTTCACCAGTAGAAATGGGCCTTGAGGGGATTTGTAGTGGAGGGTCTGTTAGGCAACCTATCAGGGATAGTGGCTGGTAGTGTTCCACAAGGGCAGAGGAGCTTTGAATGAATACTTTTTATTTTCAGGAGTAATATATTTATT